AGGAAATGGTAACAACACTGGTGCTTCTTTTTTCTCAGTGAGTTTCTTGGCTTCAGATTTAAAAACAAGTTGGTCAGCTAGGGATCTTTTTGTCAGTTGTAGAGATTAGAATTTCTACAGTGTGTGTTTCATTATTTTCCCCTTAACCTTGTGTTTTCTAGTACAGTAAATATCCAGAATCGATGTATACTTATCCTTGATTTAAGTGTGATTGTGAATGTTTTTTTATGTTCCTTCTGTCATTGGGAAAAGAGAATGAGAAATGAACATGACAAAGTGTAATGCAAATGGCAGCGTGTGCACATTTAACAGAGCTGTATGTGTGCTCCCTGAATTCACTATCAATAAAATAAAGGAAGGGAAGCAGTAGGTACCAAGAGATGATGAACACACAGGAAATAGGAAAACTGCCACAATCAAGAATTGAAAAGCATGACACAGATGAACACAAGGACACACAGAACCAAGTATACTATGTTGAAATGTCATGGTAGAATACCTGAAAACGATGGACCCAGCAATCCAGCCCCAAGAACAATCTGGGGCGCGGGTCGTCGGCGTGCGGGGGCGGGCGCCGGGGGCCGGGCGCGGGACGCCGGGGGTCGGCGCGCGGGGGCGGGTGCCGGGGACCGGGTGCAGGTGTCGGTGTGCGCCGGGGGCCGGGCGCGGGACGCCGGGGGTCGGCCGGCGCGCGGGGGAGGGCGCCGGGGGCCGGGCGCGGGACGCCGGGGGTTGGCGCGCGGGGGCGGGCGCCAGGGACCGGGTGCGGGTGTGGGCGGGCACGGGACCGGCGGCGGAAACCCTAGGCAGCCTGACGGCGTCGGAGGAAGAAGACAGCGCCCAGACGATGACTCCCGTGCGCTTCCTCCTATTTATACTAGGTACCATTTGTAGGGGTGGTTCCTGATCCAGCCGCCCCTACAAATGTATTTTTAGAGGCGGTTCCTGATCCAACCGCCCCTACAAATATTTTCTATTTTTTTAAATTATAAATTCTATATTTTTTATATCATAAAAACACAAAGTAATATAAAAAAATTGTGTATATACACAAATATAATTTTTTGTATTATTCTATATATGAAGAAATATATATATAAACAATTGTAGTCAAAACAATATAGAAAACAAAAAAACAAAAATTAAAAATTTGAATTTTAAAATTTCGAATACAATTTTATGACGTTAAATGAAATAAAATGAAAATATTGTAAACATAAAAGTTGTATAACTCATCGGTGCTTCATCCTCTCATTAAAGGGATTCATTCCATCAGTGCTCAGGCCAAACCGTACATTCCTTGGGTCATCGCTGAATTCTTTGTGCTTCTCATCAAACCTTTGCCACTGACTACAATCAGCTGGGTGTGCAATCTTATCATCATCCACCTTGCGCTCATCATCCCACCATGTTATGAGTGTGGCTTCTTTAGGGTTTAGGAACATACGTCTCAAGCGGTCGGTCACTGGCAGGTACCACATTACCAGGGCAGGAATTCTTCTCTGCTTTGCATCGTTGCCTAATAGAGTGTCCTCTGGGGGCTGAGATTCTTGTACCACCTTTTTTGTACCCTTCTTATTCCTCTTTTTCTCCGTGGATGGTTCGTCCCCACCGTAAAGGTCATTGTTCTTGTACCGGCTGGCCCCACACCGGGGACATTTATCTAATGACTTGAACGTTTCACCACGAAAAAGTATACAGTGGTTGGGGCATGCATGTATTTTTTCAACCCCCATTGTCAATGGACTTATGACCTTCTTCGCTTTGTATGTGTTGGCGGGAACTGAGTTTGGTTGTGGCAGCACCCATGACAGGAGATGCAATAGATCATTGAAACTACAGTCTGACCAGCCGTACTTAGTCTTCAGGATGAGCAGCTCAAACACGAAACGTAGCAATGTCCAATATGTCAGAGAGCCATTTTCAACACCATACACAGTCTTCTTCGATGCTTTTGTCACTCTTTTCAAATTTTCTAGACCTTTCGGGCTATTTAGTAAAATCTCTGGTCCAAGGGTTCGAATCATGTCATCTAAATCATCTTCAACTCTGACACGTGCTCCACCATCATTATTGGCACCACCTTCGTCGTTACCATCCCAACCACCAGCATCACCACCTTGTTCATTGCCAAACTCGAAATCCATTTGTGCATTAAGCTCGGCTGAATATTGGGACAGGGATTCTATGGTTTCATCGTCGTATTCCTCCTCATCCTCGTCATTAACAATAACCATTTCATCATGATGAATCCACACTGTGTAGTCCTCAACAAATCCTCGTATAATCAAATGTGATCTGATGATAGTCACATTTGTCCATGCCATACGGTTCTTGCAATCTTTACAGGGGCAAATAATTGTATCCTTATTCTCTTTCAATGTCATTGCATGCTTCGTTGCGGCTTTAATAAATTTATCCACCTCTTCACGGAAACCTGCTTTGAACCTTAACGAACCATACATCCCAGAGTTCCTGTACTCCATCTTTTACAACAACAACAAAACAAACATTAAATGACTACTTATTCAGATATATATAAAAATTAATCAAAGTAATAATTATTTGAGAATAATTGTATATACCTCAGATATATATGAATATAAATCTAATATAATTACATGAAGTATACAAATACAACATGGTAGAGGAAAATTAATTAATGGCCCATTTATCCATAAATAATTAAAATACATATTTATTGATTACAATAAACAATTTCAAAGACAACAATTAGCAATAATTATACTTTACCCAATATCTTTCATACAAACCCTAGTCCAATTTTATTAAACATAAATTTACAAAAACGAAATTAATAAAAAAACCAAACCCTAGATCTAGATCACATGCACATGAAACATCCATAAAACTAACTAACGGTTCACTAAAATCAAGAAACATGGACCAAATAAGGGTATGATCTTGTTCCCCTTCCTAATTTACCCTAGTACATTTAAAAGTTGGGTCTAATTTGCTCATAAATAGCTCAAGCACCATAGAAGAGAGAGAAAAACAAAACTCTAATTATTCACTAACCAACCATTAAAACTTCAAAAAAATGTGGAATAGTATTTTCTTACCTTCTACAACCTCTCCACCAAAGGATTTGAGACCAAAACCTCCCCCTTAGTAGAGCAATTTTTGGGAGGTGCCCAAGGCCTTCCCACCTTTCTTTCACGGGTTGGAGTGAGTGACCCGAGGAGAAAGAAGGTGCTGCTTCAGTTTTATATGGGGGCCATTTGTAGGGGCGGCTGGTGATTGAGCCGCCCCTACAAATATGAGCTATAAATACGGGGCTATTTGTAGGGGCGGCTGGTGATTGAGCCGCCCCTACAAATAGGAGCTATAAATACGGGGCCATTTTTAGGGGCGGCTCAATCACCAGCCGCACCTACAAATACCATTTCTAGGGGCGGCTGGTGATTGAGCCGCCCTTAAAATCAGACGCCATTTGTAGGGGCGGCTGGTGTCTGGGCACCCGAGCACGCCACTGTAGGGGCGGCTCCATCATCAGCTGCCCCTACAAAAAAAATCGAACCGTTGCTAAAAATCGTTTTTTACGTAGTATTAAAGCGTAAAACAATGACGAGAAAATGCAGAGCAAAATTCACAACATCTTACAAAGCCTCCTTCGATGGAATCCTAATCTATCTGGTGGAATGTTTGGAAGAGCGAAATCAGAGAACTTTTCAACAAAAAGAGCTACAACCCTAGCAGGTCGCACATCAGATCAAAGATGATATTCAAAAGTTCAATTTGGCAACACAGCAAACCATCGACTCCTTCTGAACCTCCTGTAGTGTCTCTCACCTTCTTTGGAAGGGCTTTTTTCCCGCTTTATTGGACACATCTGATCTGAACTTTAGCCTTTTTCTTTTGTTGTTAGTCTGGTTTCTCAGTTGTCGCTTGTTCTGGGTTGATCTTTCCCATAGTAGTGTCGGTTCACCTAGTAGAGTCAGCGGGTGGTATCTTGTAATTATTTTCTCTCGTCCTTTCCGTTTTCTCTCGTCTAATATAATTTGCAGCAAAGCTGTTGCCGCTCTTTAAAAATAATAATCAAATTGTGAGTGTTTGGCATTTCCACTCGAGCCAGAGGATCCCAACACGCCATAGTCCCGTTGCATCCTTAATCTTTTTTTCATGTGCCCGATGCTCTCAGACAAAATGATGGTCTTCTGTCCTAATCTTTTTTTTCATGTGCCCGATGCTCTCCCAGCATCAAAAGCGCCGTCCAGATAAGCCCTGGGCCAACTAGCTGTATTCAAGTGTAAAACAATGACGAGGACCAAGACTATACAGGTCTACTACAGCTATGCACTGCATGCATATTATTCTTTATTACTTGCTCCTTTCTCAAGGCATCATCCCATTACCGGATCGACCTAAAACAATGACGAGCTCCAAGACTATACAGGTCTACTACAGCTATGCACTGCATGCATATTATTCTTTATTACTTGCTCCTTTCTCAAGGCATCGTCCCATTACCGGATCGACCTAAAATTCCCAATTCAGGGCCTGCTCGGAACAAAGAAATTCAAAATAGAGGAATAGAATAAAACACAGGAACAAGGTAGAATAAAAAACGAAAAACTACAGAATTAGAAAGTTTAGATTATTTGGAACGTAGGAATTCGTAACGAATCATAAGATTTAGGCAAATATGAGTACGGACTACAACTCGTTTTTTTCCTCCTCTTCTCACACGCGCTGCCTCGGGCTTCCGCGAACGAAAACAAAACAATGGATCGGATTGGATTTTTTCTTTCCTATGAAGTTGCTTGCTGGCTACAGTATTCCAGAGGAAAGGGTTTGAGCGAACCCTTTGTTCCAAACGCTCGAATCAGTTTCATTTCCTCCATTTCTAATTCCTTCAATTTTCATGTGAGATTCCTTCGATCCAAACGAGCCCTCAAAAAACGCATGCAAACTCCAAGCACAGCCTCCTCCTACATCTGAAGCAAGAACGCCACAACCGCGCGGCGGGCGAGGCAACCATGTGTGGCTGCTGCGACCGCTTCTGGGACGAGGTCAAGGACTGGCTCATCTGTGTGGCCGTCGTCATTGGCCTTATCATCGTCGCCGGCGTCGTCCTCATCATCGTCATCTTCGGCGGGCCCCTGCGCCACATCAAGATCAGCGTCGAGGACGCGTCGCTCACCCGGTTCGCGCTGGTGACCGCGCCCACGTCGACGGCGCTGGCGTACAACCTCACGCTGGCACTGACGGTCCGCAATCCGAACTGGGCCATCGGCATCAAGCACGACAAGCCGCTGGAGGCCGCGTACAGCTTCGACGGGCAGCCGTTCGAGCGCGTGCAGGTCGCCGACAAGGGCGAAGCAGGGCCCCGGAAGACGGTGGTGTACCACCTGGCGTCCAGCTCCGAGGGCCGGGGCGTGGCGCTCGGCAACGCCGGCGAGGCCGAGTTCAGGAAGGAGAACGCCACGGGGCTGTTCGAGGTGGAGGTGGCCGTCACGGGCAAGTTCAAGTACACGCTGCGCAAGACCAAGTGCAAGATCGAGGCCACCTGCCCGCTCAAGCTGCAGCTCGCCGCGCCGGGGGCCAGGTCCGTCGTGTTCCAGAAGGTCGAGTGCGAGCTCGCCAAGTCCGACGACAAGTACTGCTAGAGATGATGGGTTTGCGAATGCATTGATTTGGAGCTCATGTGTTGTGTTTTGCTTACCCTGTCCCCCTATTGTTGGTGCTTGTTGCAATTGATTGAGTTGAACTGTGTGTGTGTGAGTTTCGCTCGTCAGATTATTCATTTGTTTTTGGTTTCGATGCCAAATGTTTGAACAAGAGTTCGTCACACGAGACTTGAACAATGCAGCCAGCAATGTACTTCTATTTCACAAACTTTCTTGCTGTGAACAAATCTAGTTATTGCAATGCGATTTCGCATGTTGACAATGGACAAATCACAAATCTCTGCCTGTTCTCTTTTATTTTTAATAACTTCTTTTGGACTAGCCGGCCGGTAGGCATTGTTTAAGTAGTAGAAGTCATATGGACCCGGGGGTTCTTGTAGTCTAGGGTGGACCACAACAGGAGGAACCTTTTGTGGTTTTGTTAACCTTCTGTGGTTTCGTGGTTTTTGCTAGACATGATGACATACTTATTCAACGCACGCACGCCACGCAGTAGGACAAATTGACGTGGCATGAGGGCATCCAGTCACTACTAAAAGACACATTAGAGACGGCTGGGATACCTACTGATCCAGCCGTCTCTACTTTTCTACCTCTATAAACCATCGATTTATAGAGGTGGTTGTCTAGCCGTCTCTATAAATCATATATCTAGGGGTGGCTAGGAACAGGAGCCATTTTAATAAATTGATTTGTAGAAGCGATTGTATTCCAAGCCGTCTCTACAAATTATTGCACAAAATCGCAAATCCAGGCTAAACAATAGCAAAAAAAAAAAGCCCAAGGAGACCCCACTAGGCAGCTACACGTGCATGACGACCGTAGGCCTCGCGCGTTTCTCCCCTAATCACTTCACCCATAAGACAATGGTATCCATTTGGAATATTCGTCCTTCTCATTTTATCCTCATCCCAGTTTAAAATGAGTATTTGGGACCCTGAATGAATTTAAATGAAAATTTTGTCAATGACAAAGTTATATAACTTTTACAGATCTACAACTTTGGTTTTGGTTGCTTCTCAATCTGAGGTCGTTTGGAAATTTTTGAATTTCAAATGTGAGAATTCAAACGTAATTTTCCTTGCATAGATGATTTTAAATGAAAAAGCTATCAACTACAAAGTTGAATAACTCTTCGAGATCTACACTTTTATTATGGTCATTCTCCATCCGAAGTCATGTGAAAAAACCAAATTTACTATGTAGCTCCTATTTTTAAAGACGGCTCTATTTCTAGCCGCATGCACAAATCAATTTTTCATGGTGGCTGAAAATAGTGCCGCCTCTACAAATGCATTTTTAGAGATGGCTTAGTTCGGACGTCACCGTAGAAGCGGTTGGAAACTAAGCCACCTCTACACAAAGAAGCTCCTGTTGTTGAAAATCAATTATGTAGTAGTGAGCGGGCATGAGAGAGAAATTGTGAAGCACAAAAATGAAATCTGAGGTGCGGGATTGTGAATAGTCTACTAATTTTTTTTTTCACAAGGTGCAAACATAAATAGGCACAAGTATTAGTACCAAATGTGATCCCTAATAAGAACTACAAACACCTAGACTAGCAAGCCAAGCAAGAGAACCCTAAAAAGTCTAGTGAACAACTATCCACTCAACTACACAAGTGCTACTCGAAAGAAGCACTAGCAACTACTCGGGTACTCTAGCAACAAGAACAACTACACAAGCAAGCAAGATAGAGAGCTAAACAACTACACACAAGCTAAGAAAACACAAAGAAAAGAGCAAGTGTAGAGATTGCAAACCACAAGGGGAGACAAAGATGACACAAGATTTTTCCCCTGTGGTTCAGTTGCTTGCCAGCTACCTACTCCCCATTGAGGAGTGTCCAAAGATTGTTGCTCCCCTACTAGCTCAACAAGCCCTCAAGATTGGCTCTGACATGAGCGCTAGTGTGCAAGCCAACCAATCATGAGGTATACCAACGGCCTTGATTCCACTAAAGTTGCTCCTCACCTTAGTCGGCGGGGATGAGCACAAGAGCCCCTCACAATTGATGTTCCAAGACCTTACAGTCTCCAACCGAGTGCTTCATGCGAACTTCAGCTTCTCCAAGCCATATAGGTGGCTGCAACCACCAAGTGTAACATGAATCACACAGCTTCAATGAGACACTAGTGCCACTAAAGTTGCTCTTCACCTTCCCCAGCGAGGATGAGCATAAGAGCCCCTCGCAATTGATGTTGCGACCACCTCACAATATCCAACTAAGTGCTTCAAGGGAACTCCACTTGCTCAAGCCATCTAAGTGGCATGAACCATCAAGAGTAATAAGAATCTCATAGCTTCAACAAGTCACTAGTGCCACTAGATGCAAATTGTCAATTCAAATGCACTAGATGAACTCCAATCTCACCCAAAAGCAGTATCGACTAAGCGAACATGAACGGGGTGACTTCTTGAGCTCTAGTTAGTGTGTGTATCTATTCCGAGTGCCAAGAGAGCCTTCAAGCCTGAGCAAACATTCTATTTAAAACCCACCTCAAGAACTAGTCATTATGCCCTTTCATTGGGCTGAGCACGTGCTCATTGAAAAGCTCTAGAGGGGTCACCGAAGAAATGCATAGGAGCCCACAATGACTAGCTCAATGTCTAGTTTAAACTAGCCATTGAACATCCTTTACTCCGATGGTGCTCCCTCTAGTGGCACCAGAGAAATTTAGTGGCCACACAGAGCCACCCGTGCCTCTACAGAAGGTTTAGGCCGATGCCTAAGGTCTTTGTGAAGGATGGAGTTCACCACTAGACATAGTTTCTGGTGGCCTCTAGAATCTTCTGCAGAAGATTTTTAGGGCCACTAGAACCCTCCAATGCTCCCCACTGTACTTTTCAATGACTCGTATTCAAATCTAGTGCGCACTTCTCCCAAATGCACAGATCACTACCACATGTTAGCACTTTTCCAGTGCCCACACTCTCTAGTGGCACTAGAGAATAGATCATCACTTTGAAACTTTTACAAAAAACAGCCAGTGAGCCTAGGCTCGTAGGCCCTATACCCCAAGATGATCAAACTTTTCTAATGACCATGAACAATCAACATAGAAGACATTCGAACATGTATGGTAGGTGGCAGATAAGCTCTGATGGCCCTTCTCCGGTGCCCACGTACAAGATTTTTCCGATGAGTGCAATGAAACTACACCAATCCCCTTCTCTCAAACCTTTTTTCAAATTTACTAACTCCAAAGTGTGTCTCATGGGAGAATGACACCTTTAGCATAGAGTTAGCATTTTTAAAATGTTTTCTTTTGCTTCCTCACCATGCCACTAGACCTAACACATATGCATTGTTAGTCCTCACCTATAGTGGCACTAGATAACCATATAGTACGGTTATCTATCCTAAACCTGGCCATGCACTTCTCCTCAACACCTTGGTCAGTGAAAGAAAAGCCTACATGTATACTACCTTTGCCTTCAAGCTTTTGCTTCCAAGTCCATCCATCTCCTTCCATGTCGAGCACTTTACCACCATGGTCCTAGACATCTCCTCTCATGGATCCATGTGTCACTCAACTTCACCAAGTGGACAAACCTAGCTTATGAACTCAAGTAAAGCATTAGTCCACTAGTTGTCACTCAATGACCAAAACCAAACTAGGGTTTAAAAGGGATGTGGTCTTTTGGATTTGATTTTTATCCGCAGGTAAGATTTCGATATCAATTCATCCATTCCTGTACCTTTACCAAAGAGAGATATTCATTGGCAAGCAGTGGTGGAGCATGAAGAGCCAAACAAAGGGGGTAGCTACTCTCTAACATAGCACTTCAGCTATGTTCGGCCCTAGCTCACACAACTTCTACATGTTAGACACAAGTCCATAGATGAAAACTTGTTGTGGCCAATGCATGGAGGAAGGGGGGCAAGTGCCAAGATTCGCCTCCACTACCCTTATGAAAGCCCTAATTTGGTTTTAGCTAATATAATTGATGAAACATAAGTACTAACCTTTGTTGTGAGTGGTGATGTGAGCAAGGATTGTATATACCAACACTAGTAGGAATATCCACTTCTATGACGATCAGATTTCATCACTGAAGGAGCTAAATTCGTTATAAATTCAGTTTTATGATGAATTTATGATGAAAACCGGTTCGTCATAGAAGTCACGTCACACTTGAAATTCTATGACGATTTTTGAAAATCGTCATAGAAGTGGCTTGATGTATGACGAAAAATAGAACGTCATAGAACTGTTTTGGCATGCGTGTCAAGGGGGTTGCCACGCTGGTGGGTACTTCTATTGTAGATGCTTTCCGCGTGTACATGCTATAGTTGGTTGCATTGGAGATGGTTCGGGTACGTGTCACCTTCTTATTGCACAACGTGGTCATCTCTGGTTCTTGCACATTTTAGGTTCTTACTGGACCATGTGTCATGTTCCTATTGTTCCATATGTCAGTTTTCTATGGGCACACATGTCATGTTGCGGTTGGATCATGTGTCACTTCTTCATTGGACCATGTGGCGTATTTTTATTGGTCCACATGGCCGTTTCTTATTCAACCACGTGTCACGGCACTGTCCGTCCATGTTTCACATTTTTATTTGGCCATGTGGTTTGACGACATCCTTCCACGTGTCGGATTTTTAATAGCCCATGTGTCGTGCTCTGGCTATTTCACGTGTCATGGACTGGTTCCTTCATGTGTCGTATTTTTATTTGATCACGTGGCCTGTTATGGTTCTACCACGTGGAGTACAATCAATTCATCATAAAAGTAATTTAAGATAGTCACTACTGCACAGATTGACTACATAACAATTTAGCCTGGCAATCAAATAACCACAATTAACATTTCACACGTCAGCAGCGAACCATTGATAGAGTATCACAACATCAAACCATCACATGCGTCCACACAATAGACCACAGATGTTCATCGCATCAAGCCGCAGGAGTTGAAGACAGAGAGTTAATTACGAGGAGAGCTTAAGCGCAAGACTAGCTCACTGA